AAAGTAGACCAGAGGAAAGACAGTGAACAAGAGGTGAGGAGAGGAGAGGGAATAAGAGGAGTCATGAAATTGAGTGAGGCAAGGAGGGCACTGTAGAGAGGAGAAGAAAAAAAGGGAGAAGAGTACAGAGGAGAGGAGAGGAGAGGAAGAGGGGAGTTGGGAAGAGAAGAGACCAATTTCATGCATTTTTAGTCAGAGGAAAGGAGATCAAAGAGGAGGCCATTCCATAAAAGGAGAAAGGATGAATACGATGGTCAACCTTATCATGTGGCAGTAGCACTAGAAATAGCTGCCCCAGTTGTAGACACACTTTTTGTTGCTAGCCGACTGTACCCAATGCACAGGGGTTGCTAACCTATATAGGCCTCTTTCATGCCGCAACATCTCCAAATCACTTCCAAACACACTCACCCCCTCCCATCTTGGCTGCCTTTTCTCTCACATATACACAGTCATGCACTCACACAGAGACATGCTAAAATCAGGCCACACATGCTTGGAGCTACCACTGTGTTAAGTCACCTGTGCTGCCAGCTTGCTAGCGGGCAACCAGCTGCTCCTTTCATTAAGAGCTCCAATACGCCAGCAATATACGCATAAGGAGGACTAGTTAGATGCAGTGTGAGATAAGGCAGCAATGTCATACGGCAGTATACGAACTATGTTTCAAAATGTGCTTCTGCACAGATTGTCTTAAACATGCTAGTATCTTAGCCTGCAGTACTAGTTCAAGTTCAAAGGACTTCTGTACCAAAACTGAAAAACCCTGTTTTCCAGAAAGTTGGCAAAATTACAAAGAGAAAAATTTCAACAAATTTTTTCAACAACAAAATCTAAGAAATTGAAGTCTAAAACATATACCAATGCAAAATTGATGCCTGTAATACACTCCTTACATGTTGTGACAAATGCAGAGTAAGATCATTAAATGTTTCTAGAAGCTACTCTACTATATTAGTCACTTCACATAAAAAAAATGGGTATCAAGTTTGGTTGGGGCATTGAGGCCCTTGAAGGTAGCCATGTCACAGGTACCTGAATATCTTTAAATATATTATTGATGTAGAGTCATGAAACTTCTTGTACAAAAATAAATAAATAAATTGGAGTTGTTTACACCGGACGTGGACAAACTCTTTGCTCTTTGTTTGTTATTTTGTAATAAGTTTTACGTTATTACGTGATATGTTTTACATTATTACGTGATAAGTTTTACGTTATTTCATGAAAAGTTTCAGGTTATTACGTGATAAGTTTTACATTATTACGTGATAAGTTTTACGATATTTATTTCATGAAACGTGAAACGTTTCACGTGATTACGTGATAAGTTTTACGTTATTACGTGATAACTATACCTAACAGTGGTCCCGCTCTATATCGCGGTTCTACTTTCGCTCCCTCAGTACATCAAGGATTTTTTAATCCGATCTTTAAACATAACAACAACAAACAAATGTTTTAATTTCCAATATATTTGTATTTTTCTAGCTTACGCATAGCCTAGCTTCTAGTTTCTAGCTTATGGATACAAGCTGGATACGTTTGTCAACCAAAGTATGAATTATCACGTAATTACGTGATTTCCCAAATGTACGTACAGTACATGTTTCTTTATGTATTACCCTGTATGTATGTATGTGTTGAAAAATGTAACTAACGTAATTAGTTAGATTACCCGTTACTGAAAAACGTAACGCCGTTAGTAACAGCGTTTATTCTAACCCCGATACTCCCATCACTGATTATGAATGTGAACATATTCCAAAAATAATAATTTTGTTGTGTTATTATGTCAAATTAAAGAATTGGACAACCAGAGAATAGCAGTTCTTTTCCTGTAAAAAAAGAAACTCTCCATATAAATGTCACATCAAACAGTTAAGTTACATGGAGCACCAGAATGACTTTTTTTTCACCTGCTGAGCAGATGATGGACCTAAGAGCACTGCTTAAATTCAAATGGTTACCTGACAATTATTCAAACCATTCCACCCCAAAGGGTATATAATTGACTTAATCCTTGAAGATACAATCTTTGATCACACGGCTTTGTGCGAGAAACATCACTCTGTCACCCTCCTGGAGAGGCATATCAAGGTGATTGACTGAAATTATTCTTAATGAAATTTAATGGCATCAATCTTATGTTGGAGGGGGTAAAAACACTGACCGAAAATTGAGGTAACCGCTTCAAAATAAGTAATTCTTCATTTCTTTTTGAGCTTCCAGAGAGATGATGTGGAGTAATCTGAACATTCTTGGTCTATTGAGGTGCTTACAACACGAAATGTGAATTATGCAGTAAAAGCTGTGACAACAAAAAATATATAATTAGGATAATGAGTAAATTATAGTCTCTGAGGCATAAATGCTATTGGACAGAAGTTACTTTGACAATTTGAAGACATTTTATTGACTTTACTGTGTGCAATGCCACTGCTAATGGCTAATTCACTAAACAGACACAAGCGGCAGACGCAAACACACTTGTATAGGCAGACACAGATGAAGACAAACACATTGGGACATATGCAAATTTGTACCAACACCTACAACGCAAACCGACCCCTATTCATTTTATTTTAGCCTAAAGGACACACAAAATTGTGTCTGGCCATTAGGGTACATTATGAGCAGTGCATTAGTCGGTGAAGGCAAATGCGGCAACAGCACTGTGGGTGGAAGGGAAAAAAACACAAAGTATAAAAGAAAAAAAAAAGAAAAATTATGACAGATATGATAACTAATATACAATGGCTGTAACATCCTAACCCACTCACGGTGCACTGATGGAGAAAGACAAAGAAGAAGAAGTGTCAGTGACAATCCAACTGTTGATTCATTGCATTTCCTTCCGTCTCCAGACCAGACCTAGACAAGAGTGTACTGTGCAACTCGTAAAATATTTCTGTGTGGCTGCAAACAGTACATAGGCCGTCACATTCATCTGATTAAGTTTCTCCTCACAGCTGCAGGTAAATCTTCCATCTCCTTCATATTATAATCTGCTATAAACTGCTAGCTGTAGGATTATCCACCACCACTGCAAAATAAATACACTATCTGATGTTTGAAGGACTACATGATTACAGAGTAAACTTCACGCTTGATGCTAGGCCAAATTACATTGTGTAGATGAATTAAATAATCAAAGGTTAAAAAAAAGAAAAAGAAAGCAATATTAAAATCTTCCTTTCACTCTGTAGAGAAAAGACATTTTGAAACGCAGTTCGGCTGTTTTTATCCATCAACTAACACTCCTTCTCGCGGGGGGCACTGGAGCCAATTGCAGCTATCTACAGGCGAGGGTGGGGTCTACCCTGGACAGTTCACCATTCCATCACAGGGCCAGGTTCTTAATATGTAGGAGCTAAAAATGATCACTTCCTACCTGAAAACTCACTAATGGAACAATGTATAGGGTTTTTGGTAATATTAAGTCAACACATTATCTATATATCTATATATGTATAATAGTGCAGATGGCAAAATAAATTGATTAAGAACTACAGTAGCTAAGGAAATGATGAGCAAAGAGTCAACTTCAAACGCAATGTTTTAGAATGTTAAACAAATCTTTTTCTCCTGCCTGATAGCTCCATCTCTAACATTCTTCTACCAATGTATCCACTGTCCCTCCTCTGCACATGTCCAAACCATCTCAATCTGGCTTCTCTAGCCTTTTTTCCAAACCTTCCTGTCTGTGTTGTCCCTCTAATGACCTGACCTGACCCTCTTCCTGATCCTGTCCATTCTTGTCACTCCTAGAGAGAATCTTAGCATCTTTAACTCCGCCTCCTGTCTTCTGCCTATTGCTACTGTCTCTAAACCATACATCATGGCTGGTCTCACCACCGTCCTGTAAACCTTTCCCTTCACCTTAGCTGACACTCTTCTGTCACAGATCACTCCTGACACTTTTCTCCAGCTGTTCCATCCTGCCTGTACTCTATTCTTCACCTCTCTTCCACAGTCTCCTCTGCTCTGAACAGTTGATCCTAAGTACCTAAACTCCTGCACCTTCACCACCTCTGCTCCTTGTAGCCTCACTATTTCACTGTTCTCCCTTTCGTTTACACACATGTACTCTGTCTTGCTGCGACTGACCTTCATTCCTCTTCTTTCTAGTGCAAACCTCCACCTCTCTAGGCTCTCTTTTAGAGAATATATATTTTATTTTCTATATATTTCTGCCAATTTAAAGTTAAAGATGTTTTTTATGTGTAGAAAAGAAAATTATTAAGGGAAAATAAGAAAATAAGAAATATGATTTTTTTTTTTACTTCACTGCTCCATGTTTGTTCCAAAACGTGGAGTACATTGTGAAGGTAGATGATAATGACTTATTACAAATGACCAGTATTACGTGCATTACTGGCCATTTCCTACATACTACGTCCTGGTATCATGTAACGAGTAATTCATAAAATACCAGTCCACCTCTAACAATGATCATGTCAATTATATGTGTAGCAGGACTAAATGTGTGAAAGAACCTTTGGAGCAGGAAATGGAAATGTTGAAAAGGCAATTTTTAGACAGTCATCCCTTAAGTCTACTGTGCTCCCATACTGTCAGCCCATAGTGTAGCCAAAGAAGACATGTCAGCATGGTGCTGGAGCAGGTGGGAAGATGCAGAGTGTTCTGTCTGAGGAGTACAGCTGAGGAAAGGAAGTAATAAAGGAGGAAGTAGTGGACCACAGTACGAAAGTGACTTTTGAAAAACCAGACACTATAATTTATAAGGGAATTTAAAGTCAATACCCAAAAACTCTTTCAAAATAAGATCGGGAGGAAGAACTGAGAGACAGTCACTGTGGTTAAAGAGATATATATATATAATGGCAAGAGAGCAGGATGCAAAGAAAAAAGAAAGAAGCGGTAACCCTTAATAGGGTTAAAAAAAGGAAGAAACCTCACATCACATGTGTAACAAAGCAAAACAGACAGACAGCTGGAAAAGTGAAAAAAAAAATCCTCACTGATTGATATCTTACCTCCACCCCCCCATGCTCTGTCTGTGTTACTCGATCAGTCATTTGGCAGTCTTTTGTCCTCAGGGCAGCTTTGGCATTCTCCTGGAAAAAAACAAACAAGTGAGCAGTGTCCAAGAAAATAAAAAATCAAACACGAAATAAAAAAGAATCTGACAGAAATAAATGTGAACAACTAAAGAACCTCTCCCTGGAATTATTACACTGTAGCTTTATCTGTAACATACCATAGCCCCCTCCCACTCTTTCATGTGCTCTCTAATCAAAGTGTAAAAACAACGACTCCAACAATGCCAAATTGGTTTTACCCCACGCCGTTCCCTGTCGGAAACTTGAGAGGTCATAAAACTCAGCTGAAATTACTGGATAAGTTGTTTTTTTTTTACAGCCAAATATGAGAACAGGGACCATCTTCAAGGCTGGCCAGCCTCCTAGAAATGTCCCTCTAGGAGATAATTCATAGCTTTCCTCTGGCAGATTTACACAGCGAGGTGTGGAGAGAAAAACATCGGCCCTTCCCTTCAAAATACAGCACGTTTACCTTGACCAGGAAGTGCCGACTACTGTATTTACCTCCATGATTATTTTTGCAGCAGCAGGTTGCAAGTGCTCAGAATGAGAGGAACCTTGGGCCAGTTTCCACCGGAGGTGTTTTACAATGATCGCACTAATCATTGTGACGTGCTTACTGTGCGCTGCTCACGGGTCAAGGAACAGAGCAGATTCAAAATAAGCTCTGACTATCAAAATAGTGAAGAGGTCATTAACCCTGATTAAAACTGAACAACTGAATTAGGGAACAATTGAGAGTTAATTTATGAAACAGCTAAAAACTCAAATGCATACAGTCCTGGTCAAATGCCCCACTTGACTGATTTAGTTTAAAAAAAAATCTGTTTTCATTTGCCACACTCATGACTACACAGAAAATAAGAGAGGTTTTCAGCAGTTAATTGTTACAGATGGAGCAGAGAAGCACAAAATGCACCAGTAAATAGGACAGAAATCTCATAAAAAGTGATAAGCAGTGATGGTAAACTAGAAAGCAGGTCCTTCTCAGGGATAATTAATGGGTTTTCCCACTGACAGATTTAGAAAAGGAAGGCAGTCCACTAGCTTCAAGCTGCCCTTTACTTCAGAAGTGTTACACTTTGACTGCAGTCACAGGAGCCAAGGTCTCTCTTCTAAGACTTCCACAGAGATATTATACAGTCAACAACAATAGAAAAACAGATACCCAATTTCAAATACTTGACAGAGTGACCTTTGTTTCAAGGGCATATGGTGGTGATACAAATAAGGTCTGAGGCGGCAGACAGGGAGGAAAGGGAAAAATCTATTCAAAACTCTGCTTGTGAAACACAAACAATCGGTGAATGTCTGGGATGAGTGACATTCAAAATATGACGACTCACACAGAGACATACACATTCACACCAATGCATTACAGACTCATTTTATGTGATCGGTGCATGTTTATGTTGCCTGTCTTCAATATACTGTAAAAAATAAGAAAGGTAAAAAAACAAAAACAATTTAATCTACAGATCAATCCAATCAGATTTTACAACAGGGCTGTATAACGTCCTGCGTGCCAAAACCGGACCACTTGAGGGATTTATCCTGCCTGCTTGGTGAATTTTTTAAAATGAAAAATACACACTTCATGTTCTTGATGTTTTCTCAAATTAAATTTCAATAAATACGAATATTTCCTAATAAAATATATGCAAGAAAAACAAGTGGGGGAAAGATGGACTTATAGTTATTAATAGGTATTTGTGTTATGATTGTACTGGCCCAGCCCACTTGCCATCTAACCAGGCTTATGTTTCCTGAACCAATGAGTTTGACACCTGTGGTTTAGAACATGAAGAACCAGAGTTTATTCTTATAATAACACAATCCTGAATTGATCAAGTGAAAATATGTTTTTGCTGTGTTTTACTGTATTTAACTGTTGAAAGAATAATACTTTAGTAAACTTTAAAATGAAGGATGAATGTTCTTCTTTTTCTTTCGGCTTTGTCCCTTTTTTCAGGGGTTGCCACAGTGAATCTTTTTTTTTTTTCATCTCTCTGTATCTTTTACTCTGGCTCCAACTATCTGCATGTCCTCCCTCACTACATCCATATATCTCCTCTTTGGCCTTCCTCTCTTTCTCCTATCTGGTAGCTCCACCTCTAACATTCTTCTACCAATGTATCCACTGTCCCTCCTCTGCACATGTCCAAACCATCTCAATC